TTACTAGGAAAAATGCAGTGGGAAAAAGCCTAGTGAAGGAAAAAGAGTACACATATCTCATAATACGCTTTGAATGTTGCCTCGTTAAAAATCTTACCAGGAAAACCCAACTTGGGATAAAACCATAGTTAAGGAAAAGAGTACAACGCGTATTTCGCTCCCCTTGATGAAAACTTTACTTGATATCTCGGAGACGGCGCATTCCAATCTTGTATCTCAACTTCTCAAACGTTGATGTTGGCAATGCCTTAGTGAATAAATCAGCAAGAGTATCACTTGAACGAATTTGTTGAACTTCTATCTCACCATTTTGTTGAAGATCATGCGTGAAAAAGAACTTTGGTGAGATATGATTTGTCCGGTCTCCTTTGATGTATCCTCCTTTCAATTGAGCTATACATACAGCATTATCTTCGTACATTGTGGTTGGTATATTCTTTTTCAAAGAAAAACCACACATTTCCTGAATCTGATGAGTCATTGATCTCAACCAGACACACTCTCGACTTGCTTCATGGATGACTATTATTTCTGCATGATCTGAAGAAGTGGCTACCAACGTTTGCTTCATTGATCGCCAAGATATTGCCGTGTCTTCACCGTGTCTCCACATGTAAACAAATAGTCTATTTGTGATCGAGCTTTATGCGGATCAGATAAAAACCCTGCATCTGCGTAATCAATTAGTTCTGATTTGGATTCATTTGAATAGAATAAACCCATGTCCATGGTCCCTCGAAGATATCGAAGTATGTGTTTAACACCATTCCAGTGTCTTTTTGTTGGGGAGGAACTGAATCTTGCCAGTTTACTTACTACAAAACGGATATCTGGTCGAGTATTGTTAGCAAGGTACATTAGTGCCCCGATCGCACTAAGATAAAGAGTTTCATCACCAAGAAGCTCTTCATCATTCTCTTGAGGTCTAAATGGATCTGTATTGATGTCAAGCGATCTTACCACCATTGGAGCACTTAATGGATGTGAGTTATCCATGTAAAAATGTTTTAGTATCTTTTCTGTGTACGTTGATTGATGAACAAGTATTCCATTTGACAAATTCTCAATCTGTAGGCCAAGACAAAATTTTATCTTGCCGAGATCTTTCATTTCAAATTCTTTTTTCAGACACTCAACAGCTTCTAAAAGCTCTTTACGAGTGCCAATGATGTTCAAATCATCAACATACACAACTATTATTACAAATTCAGACCCCAACCGATTAATAAAAATGCAGGGACAAATCGGATCATTTTTGTACCCTTTCTTTAACAAATATTCACTCAGACGATTGTACCACATCCTTCCTGATTGTTTCAATCCATACAGAGATTTCTGAAGCTTTATTGAACAAGTTTATCTTGAATCTTTGTATGCTTCAGGCACTTTGAATGCTTCAGGAATTTTCATGAAAATGTTGTGGTCCAATGAGCCATATAGATAGGTTGTGACAACGTCCATTAGACGCATTTCAAGTTTTTCATGAACTGCCAGATTTATGAGATATTTGAAGGTGATTGCATCTACCACTGGAGAATATGTCTCCACATAATCAATGCCAGGTCTTTGAGAAAAACCTTGAGCAACAAGTCGGGCCTTATATCTCATGACTTCACTTTTCTCATTTCTTTTTCGTACAAAAATTCATTTGTACCCCACTGGATTGATACCTTCAGGTGTTCGGATTATCGGTCCAAAAACTTCACGTTTTTCTAGTGAAGCCAATTCAGCTTGAATTGTATCCTTCTATTTTGGCCAATCATTTCTCTGTCTACATTCGTGAACAGATTTTGGCTCAAAATCTTCATCTTGTTGCATTGTTTCAATAGCAAAATTATAGGCAGATATGTTGTCAATCACAACATTATTTCGGTTCCACAACTTTCTCGTCGAGACATAATTCATTGAAATTTCATTATTTTCAGAAGTTCGAACCTCCTCCTCATCATGTGTTATGACTTGGGTCTCATCTTGAGAAATTTCTTTCAACCCATGATCATATTGATCATTTATTCCTTTCTCTTTCGAGGATTTTTATCCTTGGAACCAATTGGTCTACCACGCTTCAAATGTGGTCTAGACTCATTTGCCTTAACAATTTGTCCCATCGGGATATCAACTCAAACTCGAGCATTAACAGCTGGAATATGCGATTTAGTAATCCTTGGAAGATTAGTAAATGCATCTGGTAGCTGATTTGCAATGTTCTGCAAATAAATTATTCTTTGAACTTCTTGCTCACATTGGTTTGTTCGAGGATCCAGATAAGATAGAGATGATGAATTCCAATCTATCTCTTTTTCCAATGACTTATGTTCTCCCCTAATGTTGGGTATACTGATTCATCAAAATGACAATCAGCAAATCTTGCCTTAATTAAATCTCCAGTCATAGGCTCCAAATATTTTATGATTGAAGGAGATTCATACCCAACATATATCCCCAACCTTCTTTGGGGCCCCATCTTTGTGCGTTGTGGTGGAGCAATTGGGATATACACCGCACTTCCAAAAACTCTAAGATGGGAAATGTTTTGCTCTTGACCAAAAGTCAATTGTAATGGGGAGAATTCATGATAATTGGTCGGCCTTATGCGCACAAGTGCTGCTGCATGCAAAATAGCATGCCCCCACATAGACACAGATAACTTGTTCTCATTAGTAATGGTCTAGCTATCAATTGCAAACGTTTAATCAATGATTCTGCTAGACCATTTTGAGTGTGAACATGTGAAACTGGATGTTCTATACCAGTAGACATACAATAATCATTAAATGCTTGAGATGTAAACTCACCATCATTATCTAGACGGATTGTCTTTATTGTATAATCTGAAAATTGTGCTTTCAATCTTATTATTTAAGCCAGCAATCTCGAGAAGCCATGTTGCGAGTTGATAATAAACACACATGTGACCATCTTGTAGAAGCATCTATCAAGACCATATAATATTTAAAGGGTCCACATGCAGGTTGAATTGGTCCACATATATCACCCTGTATACATTCTAGAAACGCAGGGGATTCAATTCCAACCTTAACTGTTGATGGTTTAATGATCAACTTTCCTTGAGAACAAGCAACACAAGAGAATTCCTTTGATTGAAGGATATTTGGGCTCTTTAAGGTGTGCCCATGTGAATTCTCAATGATTTTGCACATCATATTAAATCCAGGATGGCCCAACCGGTCATGCCAAATGATAAAATCATTAAAATTAGTAAACCTTTTGTTTACTACGGCATGTGATTCAACTGTATTTATACTTGTATAGTACAACTCAGAGGAAAATGCAGGTAATTTTTAATGCACAATTTTCTTCTCTACATTAATTGTAGTAATGTAAAGGTATTCAACCTTTCCTTCATTAGCCGTCTCAACATGATAGCCATTTTGGCGAATAACTTTGAAACTTAATAAGTTTCTTTGAGACTTACTGCAATATAATGCATTATCAATGCTTAATATTGTCCCTCTAGGTAGTAATAAGGTCGCTCTTCCAGAGCCCTCAATTAATTTTGTACTACCTGATATTGTGTTGACATATGTCATTTTCATAACCAAATTAGAAAAGTATGTCTTTTTTTTAATATTGTATGCGTTGTAGCACTATCACGAAGGCATACATCTCCATTACTCATCTTGAATCCAACTGACAACTGGGATATCTATTAATTTTTATTAAAATAAAATACATCAAAAGAAGGAAGAAACAAAATTAACAACGGAAATTTAAATACTTCAATAGGAATAACATAATAATTAAAAATACATAAGTAAAATATTAACAGACTTCATTCCCCAGCTAAAAGATCAAACATCAGTTTCGATCTCCAAAGAAGTCATCAACCTCCATATGAGTAATGTCACCAAGACCATCAAAAACATCATCCTTTAAAGCCAAATTTGCTTCAACATCCTTATCATATTTCTGAGATGTTCCCGGCTTATCATCATCTTTAAGATTCATATATGACTCAGCTCGAGCATTGGAAGAGGAAGCATCACTTTTATTTCCTTTCTTTTTAAAGGAATTTTGATAGAGCCTTACAAAATGTTCATGTGTGCGACATTCATTCTTCCAATGGCCTTTCATGCCACAACGACGACAATTACTTTTTGAGGGGTTATTTTGAGAACTCATTTTGTTCTCCCTTTTATTATGACCACCACCTTGACGATTAGTGTATCGTCTTTTATCTTTGCCACGTCCCTGTGCATTATTATATCCCCGATGATCATCTCTTTTTACTTCAGATTGATCACGTGCTTCCACCACATTTGCCTTCGTTAATGGAGCAGCTCCAGTGGGACGAACTTCATGATTTTTCATTAAAAGAGCATTATGTTGCTTAGCCACATGTTCTCATCTTTTATAGTCTCCCCACATAATTTCAACTGGGAGGTTATCTTGAATACAACAAAGTTGTATTCAATTACGGTCTTAAAATCTTGAAACCGTAAATGCATCCAGTCATAACGAGCTCTTGGCAACACTGTTGCTTTTAGGTGGTCATATCTCCCCTTTAAATCAGTCCACAATTCAAGTGGATCTTTCACCGTCATATATTCAATCTTCAGGCCCTCATCAAAATGATGACGAAGGAAAATCATAGCCTTCGCCTTATCTTTACTCGATGCTTCATTTTCCTGAGTAATAGTGGCATCAAGACCTTTAGTAGCCAAGTGAATCTCAGCATCGAGTACCCATGAAAGATAATTCTTTCAAGAAATATCTAATGCCACAAACTCAAGTTTGGTTAAATTCGACATAATGAAAATTATGAGAGAATATGTGAATTAAATAAAAATATTTATATAATACCTTTGCGAGTAGCAATTTCGTGCTGATAACGTATTTTAAAGTAAGCTCAGAATATAAGATGAAAAAGACAAGTATAAGATAGAGGAGATAATTTTCTTATTCAAATATATCATACAATGGTGAATGATATCTCTATTTATAGTGTTGAGATATCATAGTCAAAGGTCACCTTGAAATTTTACATAGTTATCATCAAGGTTCATATCACCTTGATATCTTATCACATTGGAAACACTAATACATGAAACCAATTAATTGTTAGATAACTCTAATGGATCATCCACATATACAATGTATTTACAACAAATTTAATCTATTTAGATCTGATTTTATACAATTTGAGGAGTTATAAATGCAGTAGTAGGGTTATTCACAAAATATGGCTGGTAGAAAATGTGAATGAAAACTGTTTTATAACAGATAAATTATATATTGTAAATAATATAATTGGTAATAAACATATTTTTTTATTCATTATTAAATTATTCAGAAAGTGTATAAATTTGGTATATACATTGATAATAAGTACCGATGAACTGAACTTAATTAGTTGAAATTAATTGGGTGCTAGTTTTATAATGTTTGAAAAAAGAATTAGGAACTTATATTAATGTATATTTCATACATTTTACTAAAATCATAAGCTAAGTAATTAGAATGCACATTTAATACCTACTTCATATTCACATCCACCAATAATAATTCACACTATGTGTAATGCATACTTCATAATTATAGTTACTAACAAAAAATAAATGTTGATTTTATACCTATTTATGAACATATTTCAAGTTCATTCATGATTCATACAACAAAGACAGTAGAATATATATCATTTGATAAAAATTATAAAAACCATTATTCAAACTCTGAAAAGTAAAAAACATCAAAATATGAAAAATAAATAACTTGAACTTTTAATATATTTGCAATAAAAAAAATTGTTGTTCAGAGTTTGTCTTTTTGGTTTGTTAATAGGTACACTAGGCTTTGTCTTTTTCGTTTGTGAATACCTAGACTCAAGCTATGATTTTGCTATAATCTAGGACCTTTTGTAGTGTCATAAAATGAGATTTTAATTTATTTTTTCCATGACTTAGAATTGAAGCAAAAAAGTTACATAAATTTTTGAGAATGAAATAGAAAATTAAGTGAAAATCATATCAAACGATTATAATCATATTCTATAAACACTAGTAGTGAATGGATGGAATTGGTGATTGCCATCTTTGTAGAAATTTTTGAATAAAAATTTTAACGATATTAAGACTTTGATACAAATTTTATCATTCAGATCTATCCAGACTCATTAAGTGGTTGTTAAAGAAGCACTCTTAATGGTCTTAATGATTAGAATTCAAACATTAAAAACAAACTTAATGACTGAGATCTCTGAATGATTAAGATCTCCATTAAATGCAAAGAAATGAAGCCCTTGTGACTTCTTCTCTTCTCTGCCATCATTGATACCTGTCAAAGAAAAATGCTTGCATCAAGCATTCGATTCTCTCTTACTAATTTGCATATGTGGTTCAGGTTTATTCAATCAGAGACACTGCAGCTAATAACTTGAAGCGTCTCGCGGAAGAACTTGGTCCAGAGTGGGCAATGCAACATATAATTCCTCAGGTTTGTTAGATGCTATTTCAAAGCTGAAGTGCTGGTTATCTTGCATAATTTCCAAATAACTCTCGTGAGAATTTCTTTTGCTGTTGATGCATGGATATTAGGCAGAATGGTAGGGAGAGGTGAGTTGATTTCTCTTTTGATAATCACTTCTGAAGTATCCCCCTAGGATCAACTGTGTATCCACTATGACACCCCCTCCCAAAAGTAATAGGCAAAAGAAAAAAAATGAAATTTGTCAGGTTGAAGGGTTAATACTGGATTTTGTGGGTCCTTGAGACTCTTGTAATAATTCATCATGGACAAGCTTAGTTTCAGAGACTTGGTTTGATCATGTATATTATCTGCTTGTTATCTGTTTCTCATTGGTCAAGACATGGTCATTTGTTTGCAGTTCCTGGATATGATTAATATTCTGCATTATTCATTCTCTTGGTTTGACCATTTCTGATATCAAGCTTGTTCCTGTTTTTAGTGGTTTAAACATGTCATCTCTTTGCAGGTCTTGGGTGTTATTAATAACTCACATTATTTATACCGGATGACAATACTAAGGGCAATATCTTTACTTGCACCTGTGATGGGTTCTGAGATAACATGTTCTAAGTTGCTGCCAGTGGTTATTACTGTAGCAAAGGACAGGTGGTTTTGCTTTTCAATTCTTGTTAAAGTCATTATATGCATCAGTTCCTAGATCTGATGGTCCAATTTCATTTCTTCTCCAGAGTGCCCAATGTCAAATTTAATGTTGCAAAGGTGTTGCAGTCCCTTATCCCTGTTGTTGACCAATCAGTGAGAACTCTCATCTACCTTCTTTTCTTGGATTGGTTACTTGGTTTAGTTGAAATAGCGATTGAGCTAACTTACGTTGTTGTTTGTTGAAGAAATTTTACACTTGCATATCCTCACTATACCTTAGTGCCGACTTTCTAAGCCTCTTATAATTGCCAGGTAGCAGAGAAAATGATTCGCTCTAGTTTAGTAGAGCTAGCTGAGGACCCTGATGTCGATGTCCGTTTTTATGCAAGTCAAGCACTTCAGTCAATTGATGGTGTCATGATGTCAAGCTACAGATACTTATCTGTTGGGGGTTCAATACCAGAAATCTGTTGTCAAATACTCTCTGGACGTCTGGGATTACGCCGTCACACCAAGAAACAGTTAAGGGAAGGCAGAAAATGAAATACATCTGTTTGAGATAGTGTTATTAATACGAATATATATTTAGGATGTGTCAAATATGAAATGCTCCCTACAGTAAGCTCAAGTACATACATGTAAATTGGCTGTTAGACTAACTAATTAGTGTTGTCGAATAAAATGTTTTTTCTTTTAGATTCTTTCTAGTTACTAAAGGCTGTTATATTTGGTGTTCTGTGTAGTTGACACTTAAACTATTCAAAAATTGAAGAATTAAGCAACACGTCCTATGTGACATCCTACGTGTGAGTTTGCATTTTGTATGAAATCCTATGTGTAATATGTTAAGTAGGACAGCGTGTAGTTTGTTGTTAAACATCTGTATACATTAAGTGCCAATTTACTGTAAGATTATTTTCTCTATTTAATGGTTATTTTTCTAGGCTCATTTTTTGCTGAAAGACTACTACATCAGAGATCGTCTGTCCTTAAATGAATATTAATCTTATTTAAACTCAAAAGATTAAGGGGGTTTCTATGAAATTTACTTCTTGAAATGAATAAGAAAAAAAGTATGTTATGAAATCTTTATGGAGAATGTTATGAAGAGAGGTTTGAATTTCACTATGCCTCCTAAATTGTGTTAATTTGATTTTAACTGTAACATCTACTATACACGCATAATTTTTACTTTTTCTTACTTGCCTTAAATATTAAAATAAAATAATAAATAATTTTAATTTAATAATATATTAATTTGAATATGTTATCACTAATAATTAATTTGTTATATTTTTAATTATTAATTAATAGATTCATAGAATGTAATGTATGGTCTTAAATATATATGAGTAATTTTTTTTCCTACTTAAACATTAATCCAACTTTATTAATAAAAACATTTGACTTAATCTACATATCATGAATTTCATATTTAATCCAAAAACTTTAGTGTGCAAGTCCCATCACATTATTACTCATTTTTCATTTTTATTTGGGTATTTTATTTGACAATGGTGCGTCTGGCATCGAGGAAAATATTTATTGAATAACAATTGTAATTTTTCATGTTATGATATTTATTTTTAAAATTTAAATTATTTTTGGTATACATAATAAAAATAAAAGATCGATCATAATAAACCAAGCTATTATTTTAATTTAAATTCAGCTCTTTACTTTAAAATTTAAAATATTATCATTTTTACCGAATAAAAATAAAGGCTGATAAGAATAAACTATATAATGTTATTAACTTTAAATTTTAAATTCAATTCTTTAAGATCTAAATTATTTTTCTCTTACCAAATAAAAATAAAAGACTAGTCATAGTATATTATGTTTTAATATTTACATTTGAACTTTAAATTCAAATTTTTATTTTGAATCAAATTTTGTATATTTTGTAAAAAATTTAACATATTTAATTCTAGCTACAAAAATAAAATATGGGCCATAATATAAGTGTATTGTAATTTTGGATTCATTTCTACAAAATTAATTAGTTTGATATCTAGCTTAAACAATCTAAATCTAAAATTATTTTTTTCTTATGTAAAGAAAATAGAAGAATGTCCACTATATGGTAGTTTGTAATCTATTTTTTTAAAAAAAAAATTATAAAAGAAAAATAAAAGAGTCTAACAAAAACCATATTCTTACACTAACTATGTAACGACCTGTTTAGTCGTTTT